CAATAATGGGGAAGCTTTACTTACAAAACAAGCCTTCGTGTCTCGGGTCTGCATGGCGTGGGGACAAGAAATTGGGTCCTCGCGATGACAATAACGCCAAAAACCACCAACCCAGTTCAACCAGTCGTTTACTGGGACAATGATCGTCCAGAGCACTTTATCAGCATTTTGTTGGATTGACATTGCATCCACTGACATCTGTTTGTGATAATACTACATATGGCAAAGTACAGGATAAAATTCTGAATATGTCTTCGGATAAAGCAGGAAAAGGCTTCCTTGCCGGTTCTACGACACTGTTATCATACGAAGACTTCCCTAGTTAGGTAAAACAGTAAGGATCTAGTGAAGACCCCCAAGTATCACCAAATCACCACAGCCGCCTATCCTACGGGAACAGTGGTAATAGGGGTTTTACGGGTGGGGCATCTGGATGGTATGTTAAATAACAAAAATAAGGAAAGTAAGTTACGTATTTTAAAGTGTGACTCAACATTTACAACACACTTACATATGGCAACGTTGTCGCCAGTAGCAAGCTGGCGGGTGGACAGAATGGGATCGAGTGAGATCCTAACCACAACAGTGAGGGTCAAACGCCCACTTGACATGCTTATATACCTCACTTCATAAGGCCTATGACGTACTGATGATCGGTAACGACCGTGAAACAGCTGTCTGCGTCTGGCCTGTTGCACTCTTAGCGAGCTGCTCATGTATTATATGTGGTATGTGTAATATGACACAGCGTTCGTTGTCGCCAGTAGCAAGCTGGCGGGCGGACAGAATGGGATCGAGTGAGATCCTAACCACAACAGTGAGGGTCAAACGCCCACTTGACATGCATATATATACATGCAGAATGGCATTACTGACGAAGACAAGGAAGGCTGGAATGGACACTTCTGGTTTATTAGTCGTCTTCAGCCAATCATACCCAACCCCGAAGTGTGAAGCACCTGGGGTTCGATCCCGCAACCTGTCAGTTAGAAGTTCCACTTCTCCAACCACTGAGCCACAGGCTCATGCCTTGTAGGTTTCCATCGCGAATATACAATGACAGGGGGCGTTCACCGGTCGTTCTTCCGAGACTCACTCGTTCCGTTGTGCCTTACGGGCTTTCTCTCGAGCGCAATCAGCAGCCGCACAGCGGCGCATGATATAAGCAGAATGGCACTACCAACAAAGACAAGAGAGACTGGAATGGTCATTTCTTGCTAATTAGCCGTTACCATTCTGCCTATATCATGCGCCGCTGTGCGGCTGCTGGTTGGGCTCGGGAGAGAGCCCGTAAGGCGGACGTCCGCCACCTATACGAACACATTCTTCCCCCCACACATAAGCGTCTGTCTTGCCGAGGTAACCTCGATGTCCCCCCAGCTTCCCACTGCGATTATCTCCCTCACACTTTCATTTCGTCTGAGGAAGGGTTGGTGTAACCGACTTGAAAATTCACGAGTATACCTCGATATTCCGACGAGCCTTGTCCTTTTAATATATATATCTACCCCCCAGACTCTGTCACCTCTCCTCTGCTATCATAGCTTGGCCGACCTCGGCCTGGTAGGTTGTTGCCTGTTCGTGACCTCTATCGCCTATACGAAGCTTGTTTGCTTCGGGAAGCTAATGGATCGGTGCGCGCCCATTCCTGAGTGAATAAACACTTGATCTGCAGAGACAGAGAATGGCAGATGGCGAGGCACTGATGAACTTCGGTTCGATGAAGGGCTTATGACCCATCTGGTAGACCCCAGTGGTGGACCAGCTGCGCCAGGTGCGTCTGTGCGCATGTTTGTGTTTTTGGTGCCAACTGGTGGTCAGGGTTATGATTGGCCGAATGAAGGCAAGCAAGCCCGAAACTGTGCTGTATCAATCTACCCCCCAGACTCTGTCGTCTTCCCTCTGATATATATGTATATGGTAGGGGGCGCTCATCGATCGTCCTTACGGAACTCACTCGTTCCGTTTTGCCTTACGGACTCTCTCTCTCGAGCGCAACCAGCAGCTTCACAGTGGCGCATGATATAGGCCTATATATATGGCAAACGTATTATACCGTACTCCTAAATAGGTACTAACTAAAAACCCAGACACATGTTTTCGGCGATATTCTGCCGCTGCATGACACAGCTGCAAGGGACTCGGCTCCTCGTGGGTCCTCCGGCGTTCCCGATGCGGTTTATGGTGTATGAACTCCAGAGAATAATCAAGCGAATAATTTCAGAAATTGGAAATAGGCATCCCAAGTTGAAATGAGATAGGTTCTATGGGACAAGAAGGTTTATGGCGTACATTTTGGACGCTGATTCCCCAGGTCGTGGTCAGACAGGCGGAGAGCAAATTTGAGAGCAAGGTGCAGTTAACGTCGGGAGTGCACATAAAATCGATACTCGCATGGTGTTTGCCCAGGTAGGCGGCCGCCGTGTGTCAGTCTGATCTGATCGGCTGTTTTTTCTTCCATTTCTACTTTAGGTTTCTATACACGGCATCCAATTCCATATGCCGGTTGATGCATGATTTATCCGAATGCGTTGCCTCGAGGAATTTGCGGCTTTTCTTGAAAGGGTAGACAGTGACAATGCGAGCTTTGTCCCAAGCGGTATGCCCGGTATTCAGGGTATTCATGGCTACTTGGGACAGATGGTCTCGTTTTTTTATTGGCAAATGGTGTTCATGGATGCACGTTAAGGCGGATTTTCCAGTTTGACCACAATAAACGGCAGTACATGCATAACACGGGACCTTGTGGACGGCCTCTTTCTTGTTCAGCTGGCTAACACTATCCTAACGATGTACTAGCTGAGATCGCAAAGTAGTCGTATATGTATGCGCCACTCGAATTTGGTGCTTCCTTAAGTGTCTTTCGACGATTCAGGCGCATTCTTAACGCAAGGAAGAGTTCGCCAAGTGCTTAATTTAGGCGTCTGACTGGAGCTACCTGTTTCTGTTTAAACAAAGCACCAAATTTACTCGGAAAAGAAAAACACTTTTGCGGCTCTTTAATTTCCCTAGAAATTCATCGCCAACTTGGAGTTGGCCAGTCTATTTGAGACCTATGGGCTCAGAGTGAAATTTGATGTAAATTTTTCGGCCAAAGTCCATGAACCACTGCGGCATAACCGTGTAACATTAACTGTCAACATGCAGCCGATAATATATGCTTCGGTCGCACGGCATACCATACTTGACAGCACTGGTACTAGCTGTCAGGTATGGTATGTCGTGCCACCTAAGCAAAAATTCTTTTGGTCAGATTTGGCCCTGCAGTTCCACTGGCGGTAGGAAAATCCTAGGCGTCTGTAATGCGGAAATAGTGGTAATAGGGAATTTATGGGTGGGATCATAGAACAGGCCAAGGAAAAGGCGGAAATATAGATAGACAAAGGGAGTCATATTCGAGCAGGCGAAAGTAGTTTAGAAGAGGTGAAATATGAATGTGTAATATAAAAATTAAAAGATTTATGTAAAACAGTTTGTGGAAGCCGCTGGGGTGCACGGTACAAAGAAAAAAATTGGACGGGAAAGCTGTGGACTAATAGGAAGTGGGAGCGCATTGCCCTGGTCGCTCAGCGAAACGTTCGAAGAAAGTGATGGATGACTGAGACGAGGACGCAGAACAAAGCGAAAAAGTGGTCATAGGAAGCAGTAACCCAACTGAAGTAGCGTAACTGTGTCGTGGAATTTTCAGTTTAAGTAACGAAGGTATGTCGTTGAATTTTTTTATTTTAAAGAGAGATACCCAAAAGGAAGTAGTAGCCCATGAAATTGTGAAGTCAATTGTTGAACGGGATAGAGGGTGCTAATTGATTGCGCAGTCCCAAGGGTCTTGAAAGCGGCTGTATGCAATCCTGATGAATAAATGTTTTAATTATTTCATCTGCAGACCGTAAGCGAGCAAACCGCGCGGAAGGGGGGTGGACGCGACTGGAGTTGCCATCTACTTATGGGTCCCACAACCTATCGTTACCCCGGCTAGCTTTGATCCCCTCGAGGGTGGCCGTTGGCGGGCTCGCGTGACCTTCGTCCCTTTGTGAGTAGTTGTAACTAGCCCAATCTTCCTGTCGGCCGTCCCCATGTCAGTCGACGGACTGATTAATTGTTGCTGTTCGCTCGAGTTACTTTCAGCCTCGCGCGCGCGCAGGTGAGCCAGTGCTCGATGTTGGTCATGTGACCTCCAGCCGTCCTCTCCTTTCTTCTCCATGAGCATCAGCTCCCAGTTCCGCGCACTTGACTGTCCTACTGGCCCTGACCGAACTGATCCGAGCCTTGTATGTGGCGCCCGGTAGGCGGTATGCGGGTCTGCGGCTCGATTGATTGTGCCAGTTGAGCACAGGCGTTCTGGCCTGGCTACAACTACGCCGACTGACAAGGGGACGAAGATCACGTGAGCCCGCCAGCGGCCATCCTCGAGGGGATCAAAGCTAGTCGGCAGCAAACGGGCAGGTCAAAGTTCGTGCATCGTGCACGGCTGTAATACGAGACGGGCGGCAAGACCGAATAACTCAAGACCGGCAGGAGCAGTGACCGCACAACCCTGATGATGGGGGCGAGAAAGTTTCCGAAACGTCAGTACAAAGATAATTTGGCCTCACCCTCTCTTCTTCTTCGTCGGCTTCAGGAGACGAAGGTATACATTTAAATTTGTCTCGCTCACCTTCATAGCAGTTTGCTGCACGTGAAGCAATAACTGCTTAATTCCCCGCGGTCGAGTCTTTAATCGCCGAAATTCTATCATTCGTGTGGGCCTTTAGGGCCTTCCGTCCTAGGAACGGTGCTCGCCCGCGCGCTCCCTGCGTGGATAATTATCCTGTCGACACAAAGTCCAAGCACAGAAGGCGGAGGGGGAGGTCATTTCGCCTGTTAATTGACATGGGGTCGGAAAACCACAACTCAAGTAGTTTGCGGCTCGCACGGTTGTCACCTCTCTCCGGAGAATTTCGGCCTCATCGAACTTATATGCGTGGCGGGGTCCCTTCGAATGGGCCGAGACCTGAGCGTTGATGTCATTCCTCCTCACTGCTGCTGCTGCTGCCGCTGCTGCTGCTGCTACTGCTGCTGCTGCTACTGCTGCTGCTGCTACTGCTGCTGCTGCTGCTGCTGCTGCTGCTGCTGCTGCTGCTGCTGCTGCTGCTGCTGCTGCTGCTGCTGCTGCTGCTGCTGCTGCTGCTGCTGCTGCTGCTGCTGCTGCTGCTGCTGCTGCTGCTGCATGTTTGGCCATTCGGGTCCGGAGTAGCCTTATAGTTTCGTCGGTGTAGTTGTTTTGCCCACAACCGCACCAGATCCGGTAAATGACTCCATGCGCTTCTTGTGTGGCAGTGGGTTATTCGTCCTCATGACCAGGCGCCTTATAGCTGCCTCCGGTCTGCGTGAGACCCAAAATTCAAGTGGTGAGAGGTGGCTGACAGCTCCTCAGAAGTCTCTGACGTACGGGCTAGCCCATAGACATTTGAAGTCGGTTGGATTTAGGCTCTCATCTCGTTTTCACATGTAGCGGTTGACGAAGTTGCTCTGGTGGACATTCGTCCCAAGCTTCCATCGATGATATTATAATTCAACAACCATGTCTTCAGGTTCACTGTAGTGCGTCTTAGCACACCTGCACAGCGTCCTTGTGCAACTATGTCAGGCGAATAAAGCCTTTGTTCCAGCAATCGTGCCCTCTTTCTTCACGACTTCTTCTTGTAAATTGTCTTTTCGTTTCTGTCGGCAGTTACCAGGCACTACCTATCATACATAAAGAATGTGTCCGAGGCCATAGAACGCATTGCCTCAGAGTTAGGCGTGGGCATCGCCCATCATCCGACGGTTGCCATGCCTAGCGGAATCATGGAAATGAAGAATCGGTTGGACGCAGGTGAGCAGTCGGACGTAATCTATCAAATTCCGTGCCATAGCTGTCCTTGTCATTACACAGGCCAAACAGGACGACGTCTCAGCTCACGAATACTTGAGCACAAACGGGCCGTTCGGAGAGGTGACCCACTATCTCAAGTCGCAACTCACACGCTGGAGGAAGGCCATGAGTACGACTTCGCCAACACATGAATATTAGCGCGAGCCGGCAACAAGACGGGGCGGGAACGATTGGAGGCGTGGGTGTCAGACACCGACTCTATCAATGGACGCGTCGATTTGTCTGCGTGTTATCATGCGCTCCGCCCACGCAGCCAGGTGGCGCAGCTCACGCCGTCGCGAAGTACAAACGGCGTCACCACGCCGGGAGACCATTGTGGGCCAGGCAGCACAAATCAGACCTAGCCACGGACGTAATCCCCCCCCCCCTCAAGGCGCAACGGTATAAATGTTCTCACGTTGCTGCACTCGAATAGTCTCTGATGAACTCCAGTTCGCGTTCGAAAGCTAAGATCAATAAAGCTACTGTCCCAGTGATCGTGCCTTCTTTTAGTTACCTGACTGTCAGCGTGTTATAAGTAGATGTAACGACCTCGTACGCATAAATGTTACTTCATCGTTTGCAGACGATAGGGACGCATAATGAATTTGTGATCTTCGGGACGTCTGCTTGACAGCAGGATGAGTGGCGATGAAGCTGCCCAAGGTTAAAGTAGAAGCTGGGATGAACGAACCGAAGAAGTTCAGTAAACGATGAGGCCTATGAAATTTTTACTTAAATTTTAACTAGGTTCTCAAGTAGGAATGATCACCTAGATGGATTTGGTGTGCTACTTTGTGTGAAGTCGAATCCCTGGTCAATTACTACTCTGTCCAAGGCTGGTTTTGCTTTTGTATCATTCTGTCCGCCAGCGTAAATCGGACTGAGTAAGCAAAATCCCTATTCATCCGTCACGCGTACTTTGGTTCTTCATTTTGCCGCTTGTGATAATTCCCGCCTATACATGTATAGATTTAGAGTCTTTTCTAGGCGGTGCAAGAAAAAGCACAATTTCTGTTCTCAACTTTTGGCAAATTTTATTGTTCTGAAATCCTACTCTTGAAGACAGGATATATTTGGTCTTAACAACCGACACTAATGCCGGTGTATTTTCTGAGTGGTACCTGCCTTTCTTCTGTTGCCCGCTTTCCAAACTGTTCACTGTATTCGGTTCTTCGGAAACAGCAAGGCTTGATGTGTTCTTATTTGCAGGTCATAGGATACACATTAAACTGCAAATTACGCCCCTCCTACTGTTCCGTTTGGATTCAGCATCAATAAAGCAGATGTCAGGAGCTACAGATGCTCATACAAACACCCAAACAGGTGGCATGATTGCGAGCATGTTTAACGCGAAAACACACGGTCCCAACTGCAAAGAAGACGTGATTTGCCTAAACGACTTTTATAAGTCCATTTTTGTGCACTTTTCCGATAAAGTTATGAAAACTCCATAGACAGATAAAAATAAAGATATCAAATAGTTAAGCACTAATTTTTCTGCAGTTGATTTACATAACGTGCTGGAAGAGAACATCTTACAGTGCGATCTTGAACGTGGGCTTATACTTTGTTTTGGTCACACATACAGCTTCCCTGAAAGTAATATATTTCACCAAACTCATGGTTAAAATTGTCACTCAACCCTTCATGCGCTTCTCCAATTATGGTAACAAAACATTTGGTAAATGAAACTGAAGAAAAGGGAGGGCGGACTGCGGTAATTTTATCTTTTTTCACTAAGTGTGAACCGTACGATCCTCCAGGAAAGCTTGTTACCTACCGAATGTTGGCTTTTAGAATTTTAACCGTACATTGGCTCAGCGTCGAATGCCTTTCCCAAAAAGCGTGGTTAGTCAAGGGATTAGCTTGTGCTCTGAGTACCAGTTGAGACCACTTCAGCATCGATGGTTTTAGTCCTTCCTCTAGCCAAAGCTGGTAAAACTGCAATCCCATAAGTGGATTAAGCAGTCAGTCCCATGAGTTAGACTGCAAAAGAGATCAATGGCCTGCAGATTTCGATGCTAAATCCCCAGCCTCTAGGGACATCGAGTGGCTGTACAGAATTAGGCCGAGAACATCAAATGTTTGAGGTGCCATTCACAGCTCCGTCACACTAGACCGTCTCCTTCATAGTTCTTCGCTCGGCTGTGGGATTTAAGAACATATAGAATAGCATTTTAGCTGAAGCAGCCCACTATTTAAAGAAGTATGCTGACAATGACCAAGAAAGCTCTGAATATGGAAGGTATCAAATGAGAAAACTGGTCAGTCGTGTAAGTTGGTGCTCGCCTGCCACTCGGCTGACAGTAGAATGCGACATCTTAGTGCGAGTCTCAAAAAACAACATAGTCATAAGCCTGTTGCTCGCCGACGCGCCCGGGGTTTTGATCCGACTTCACCGGGTCACTGAACACTGAAGTTAAATGCTCTGCCTGTTTCGGACACCAGACTCACGGTCTTCCAGTTACTATCCCACTCAATTACATTCCCTCACTTATTCGAATTGTGCAGAAACAACCGAAAGGACAGGTATGTAAGTTTGAAATTTAATCAGTAAGGGTCTACCTAGGCCCTTAGCAGCAATTTTCTGCAACACTTCAGGTACGCGTAGTAGTTGAGGGTGCAACATCGCCAGCACTCGATCGCGCCTTTCAATTGGTTGCCGTGGGTTCACACATGCAGTGATTTGTCAACTTTTGGTATGGTCAGAAGTACTTTTAGCATTTAAGCAGGACGCTAAACTTGCCGAGCTTTGTGTTTTACCCTGTGCAAAAAACTCCATTTTAGATTACTGTAGAGGCAATAGTAATGTTTATCTTTTTCATCTGTCTGATTTTTCCCCAAACATCGTCATTCATCGAGTTCACTTGATACTGATTTCCTGCACGATCATCGTTTGACTGTGAGCATTAATCTAACTCACACTGGAATTTTAGCACCTGATGGGCATCTCAAAACAAACTCACTCCGTCTCTTGGTGGCGGTCGTCACGAACAGGCAACTACCTGCCGAACTGCCAAGTACAAAAATAAACCATTTCAGAGATTCAGTCTTGCGATCGCGCAGTGTTATGAAAGAAAGCAAATTCCAGCGTTGCGCAATTTTTATAGCATCCTTGTTAGTCCAATGATCACCAGAAGGTCCTCTTTAAATTTAGGTAACTGCCCAAATGAAACACGCGACGTACTATTCAAATGCCACATGAAAGGCCAGGGAATTGAGGTGAGTCCTGATTCGGCAATATTCTTTGTCGTATCGGGAGACTAAGGAGCGTTGTCTATTTGGTTGTTTTCAATTGTTTCAGTCGCTAATTAGTGTATTGAGGTCCGAAACACATCTGCAGAAATAGCTGAGTATTGTTATGTCAGCTTTTATTAGGGAGTCTGGGTTTTTGACTTCTTGAAGATACTCGAGGTTAGATTTTGGTTCCCTAGAGTATTTCACTGACAGTCATTATGGTCATGGAGACTGTCTCTTTGGTTTATTTATTGATGGACCGCAACTCTGGGTCCAGTGATCTCTTCAGGATTTAAGTCAGACGTTCTTGCTGTTTGGAGCACCCGACCCACACTCTTTTAATTGTGATCGGGCATATAATAGGCATAAGAAACTGGCGCCCATCCAATCATTTCGAGTGTAGGACGTAGTGACGGACGATTTTACTAGTTCTTGGACCATCAGATTCTGTCGTATGGTGATAAGCAACCATAAATCTGCAGAAACATCGACAAAACACTAGATACTAGCGTAGGTGACTCTGGCTTTCTTACTGTCACTACGTATTCATGGTCCGAACCCCAATGCTGGCCCAGCCGAGGTCTGAAATCGCATCTTTGGAGCTTCGTAAAAAGACATTTGCGAATTGTTTCAATGCTTTCCATTCGTCTTATCCACAAACCGGTCATCACATAGAAAGGCGCGGCTATGGCTAAGTAGGGTATTCCATGCCTTGTTCAGATTTTAGGACTCTGCATAAAATTTGACCAGACAAAGTATGAACTACTCCCAGTTCCCGCAGAAGTATATCCTACTTTGCCTGAAACAAATTACGAAAGTGGCTGTACATGCCAAAAACACTGAGTTAGGCAAACTAAAGCAAATTCAAAAAGGGAACATCGACTCCTGGTGACACTCCTCAGGGGGAGAGTATTGTTGGTCTGGGAGTATGAATGCTTTATTTGGTAACATTTCCAGAGGCCCTTCCTCTTCTATATTTATTAGGCTGAAGTATGATAAGTTACCCATCGCAGAAGCCATTGATTGAATTGAAGATCCAGATATCTGACGAAATTCATATCATGACACTCTGAACGAACTTTGAAGTGTTTATCATTGGAAAGCAGTAGTCATCTGACTTAG